GAAAGATCGTGAATTGGTATAGTAGTTGTAAAGGATGGATCACAAAGTGGATAATTATTAGCAACTAGGTGCCGCAAGAGTTTGCCATGACTTGGAATGTAAGCCTTAAACCAAACCCCACTATCATTGAGTTGATTCTGGCTCATCGTGACCTTATTTTGGGTTTCTGAGGTGTTGTAAATCTTTATGAGTAGACAGCCTCATCTTTCTCCCAAGAAACTACAGGTGGGTTTGAACCACTGATTTTGCAGTTAGCATTCAGCACTTACCCCAAAGTGGTCATAAAAGGACAAGGTAATTAACAACAAATGTTACAGACTATGAAATATAGATGGTATAAATTAATCATCAGGCTGGAATTTAGAGTCAAATCTATCCTCAGTTTTTCCTCATTCTCAAAGTAATATATAAATCTTTTCTTTCTCTTTATTGAATGATCGTTATCATTCAAATTTTTTAATATCTTCTAAGTGGACTAGAAGTTCATGCCACTCCTCAAATCATTAGTGAACTTCATACTTGTGCTACTTTGAGGAGCCTGACGACTGGGGATTCGAAGAAGTGGCATCAACATTGTGCTATTTATTTCCCAATTTGTGGTAGGTGTTTAGTAAACAGTTGATCAAAGAATGAATGAGTGTATGGATTTGAGAATGAGTATTCTGGTACTGCTGTCATCCTTTGTGCGGAAACAATACAACACTGTTTTATGTTCTTTCTCAACCTCAACTCAAAGAAGGTGCCGCATATTTCATTTGACCCTTTTCTCACCCATTTTTATAGCACTGGTGCAATGGTTGTGCTAACTTTAAAGAAGATACTGTCCTGGAGGAAGGCATGTGTAGCGAACGCTGTGGCGAAACAAACATATTACTCTCCTTCTCCCAACACCCACACTTTGGAACGGCGGTCCCCTTCCCCAGCTGTACTTGGGTGATGACAGCTGACAGCTCTTATTTGGGCGCTGTCCACCCACTCCTACCCTGAGAGGGCGCTAGACTGAAGCAAGCTATATTGCCCAAGATCATGTTCCTTTCCTGGGCGTAGCCTCATCTAATGCTCCTTTTTGTGGACATTAGAACAGTTCTCGCTCCTTAAGGCAGGCATGCCCCGAGTGACATCTCAGCACCAAGTCCCATGCGAGAACATGACTCTGTGTTACTGGTTGGGTCATAGCCCAACTTCTCCTTTTTCAGCCCTGGTACCTTTCTTCATTTCTCCACAGGTTTTGAAGCCAAAAACGCTCCCCAGTAAACTTCCTGTAAGGAAATCCAGCCTCAGAGCCTTATTTCTGGAGAACAGGATCTGTAATATAACTTATTTGTTAACTTTAAAATTCTTACCTCATGACAGCTAGAATAATAGCAAGTCTGGTTTCCTTTTTCTTCCTCAAGCCTAGACTTACACTATGTTACCATATTGAGCTCAGAGAGCCTTATGGAGCAATTGAATCATGCTAGTAAGTCTTCATGCAATGGTTTAAGCTACTAAACATTAAAGTTTTGAGTCTATAAAACTTTTCATAGCCTTTGACTTAGCTTAACCTTCTAACCCTTTACTCAACTTTACTCTTCCACTCCTAGTGTGACTCAGACATTTTCTTATCGAACCCACAAAACAACGGCCTTGGTTGCTGAAGGGACAGAAAAGAAAGACACACGGGTCTACCTTAGAAGTAATTGGAAGAATGGTAAATCTCCTTCAGATTTAGAGAGGTATAATTTAAAATTTTATTTATCTTTCTTTGATTTCAGAGTACTTTTCCTCCAAAGGTTTAAAGCTCAAGAGATATCAGTATAGAACTTCCTCCTCTCTTAATTTTTAAATTTTAAATCTCTAGGTCTCTCCATGGAAAATTTCTGCAATTAGAAGCATGAGTCAGCTCCATCATGCTTCCTGTTTAATTTTTCTCTACTTAGAAACCAGATACTGTAAGAAAGGTGCAATAGGACTGGCTCAGACTCACTGGTTAAATTAAGTTGATAAGTTTGTCTAGGAGGTACCTTTACCTTTGCTGGGAGACTTTTCCTTAGGCACCTCCTCATCCCACTGCCAGCTTCTTACTCATCTTTCTTCTCCTTTATCCAGGCTGCCCTGTTGTGCTGTTCTCTGTCCATGGCTCAGATCCAATCAGGTGGCCGGCTCCCTTGTTAACCTCTGTCTCTACAGCTTTCCTCCTAAGGCCAAGTTTCCTTTGTTCTCTTAGACAACAAAGCTTGCACTGCACATTTGTAGTTGGCTAATCCGTATTTGGATGGATGGATGGATGGATGGATGGATGGATGGATGGATGATTAAGTGAACAAACTGCTGTCTCATGTTACCCCATCTTGAATCCACTTTACTCTTATCCCCTATACTCTCAAAGTATATGTATTTTAAACACAGTTATAATAAAGAAAGCATAATCCAAGTAAGTGAATGGATAGCAAAGTTATTTCAAATACTTCTCCAGTCTCATGGGTGAGGGTCTTCGTTGCATATTAATTTTAAAAAGACCCTCAAGGAAATATTTTCTTTTCCATACAGTAAATTCAAAGGAATGACTGATACCCAGAGAGTATAGTGAGTCCCAGATTACAAATAAGTACAGTTCCCAAGTCTGTCTCTAAATCAAATTTATAGGTAGCAGAAGAGTTAGGTACAGCGCATATCTAATGTTAATGAGTCAAATGTTTGTCTCAATATATAGTGGACTTCCATATGCATAAAACACATTAAGAAGCATCTTTAACATAATAATACAGTACTATAGTATTGTTTTGATGCTGGTGAAAAAGTAACATACGTTTGTTGTTACAAAGTACTATATGCACCTCATGTTTAATAATGGCCTTTGCTGTGGTTGGTCCTGATAGTTGTATGTAAATTGATGACTGAATGTATAGTATTACAAAGGAAATGACCCAAACCCAATGCCATTGAGTTGCTTCTGACTCATAACGATACTGTAAGACAAAGTAGAAGTAGCTCATAGGTTTTCCAAGGCCGCAGTCTTCACGGAAGCAGAACGCACTCCTTTGTCCATCAGAGTGGCTATTGGGTTATAACTGGCACCCTTTTGATTAGCTGCCAAGTGGTTCATGACTGTGCCACTATGGGAATGGCTATCCTTTACGTAATCTGTATTCTCATTCTCCGTTCTTACAACATCCTGTGAACTATTCCACTATTGTCTCTGACCTCAGTTTCCCAGGTCACCGAGCCATACACACAGTGCTGAGATTCAAACACTGATGCTCCTGCCATCCCGCCAAGTTCTCCTCTGCCTCCACTCCTCCATTTTACCACAGTCCCCTAAGTCCTCCCCTATCTTTTGCAGTTTCATTGCATCGCCTTACCACTTAATGCCTTAAAGAAAAAGTATGACAGTATTGACAGTGAGGGCCAACGAATGATTCTACCATGAAAAATACCTGAAATGTATCTAGTCAGTATACTGTAGATAGCCCTGGGAGAGGAATGGAGAATCTTCAGGAGAAATTACCCAAAGACAAAGAAGGGATAGAAATTGCTGGCGTGTGTAAGACAAGGTGACTTTTGTGAGGGGTTGACTGGCAGCTGTGAATAATTGAGAGATATTTGCTCATTGCCATTGAGTTGGCTCCACCAACATCCACCCATGATTAGGGGCTCTGTGGTGATCCATAGGGTTTCCCTGGCCTCTCTTTAGATATAGATCACCAGGACATCCTTCATTTATCAGTCCAGAAGCTCTGCTGGAACCTGTCCACCTAGGGAGACCATGCTCATCTTTCAAATACCGGTCGTATAGCTGCCACTGGTATACACAAACACACAAAAGACCACAGTATCATACATTCAAACACAGTGGTTGTTCACAGAGGATAGATGAGAAGGAACAAGCTTGCGTGGCTTCCCAACCTGGAGGGCTCATCAGGAAGAATTTTCTGATTGAGAATGGCAAGAACTCTGGTTTACAGGGCCAAAGAAAGGCAGCTGGGATGTGCTTGCCCTAGCAATATTTTTCATCCTCCAGCAAAAGGCTGTTTGAGTGGCTTCCTCCAGCCCTGTGGATGGACTGGGTGACCCTTCGGGAGCTCAGCCTCATGTTTCAGAGGTGTGCGGCACACTGCTGCTTTCACCATGCTGCTGCCAGCAGCCCACTCCCCGCCCAGAGGCCATGGAGTTTTCCCCGCAGAAGAGAACAAGCAGGCCTTTCACTCTCCTCTTCACTTGGACCAGTCCGTAGGTGTTCATCTGTGGGTGTTTTTTTTTTTTTTTAGCTCTTCAGCACTTAGGCACTTTCCTTTTGAGCCAAGGGCTTCCTGGAATAATGTAGCATCTGTGTGTTGACAGTAAGAGCCTGTGGACCAGAGACACTCCCCCTGTCCCTCCTGGATTAGGTTGCACACCTCACCTCCAATAATCCATGGCTTAGTTGACCTCTGCCCACCACAGCTCCCTTCCTCCTCCTCATTCCCCCACCTTTTACCTAAATTGATTCCCGGCTTCTTTGCCACATTGATGCGAGTCTTATGCAGGATGGTCTCTACCCATCTCCCATCCCACCCACAGAGTGAACAATAAATAACACATTAGTGGCATATGGCCTGGTAGTAAACAGTAAGTATTGAGGTACATACTGCTTAGTTGGGCAACTGGGTATTTACAAAAGGTTTGGCCTGCAAAGAGATGGCAGTTGTTTCCTATAACATTATTGCCTTTTATTTATTATGGGGGCTGTTGATTGATGTGGGGAGTTGGGAACGCTAAATGAACATGAAGTCGGTACATGGTCTGTTTCTGCTGAGTTCAGAGACTTGAAAACCTCATCTAACTCCTGGCAAAAAGACTTAATTCCCAACACTGTTTTAAAACCATTCTTTTGTTCTTAGCCTTGAATCAGAGAAGGCATGTGTGCTTATAAAGTTAAGTAGAATTACAACTCTCAAGTGACCCTAAAGAGCAAAAATTGTGTGTTAAGTCACACAGTGTAAAAAATCAGTATTAAATGACAGACCAGCACAATCTTCCTCTAGAAAGGTGTCTCCTTTGTAGAGGTATCACAGTATTTATTTCAGAGCCCTATTCAGTTATATTGCAGATGAAACTACACAATATGAGTACATAGAAGAAAATTAGATGAATACTATGAGATAAAGAGTTGTTTTTTTTAAGGAGGAGGGAAGAAAATAAATGAGATCTGAAGGACTAAAATGGAGCAGTGTGTACACATGCACACGTGTGCCTCTGTGTCTGCACGTGCCTGTGGTTGGAAGGCTTGGTGATTTTGTCCAGTGTCTCTGGGGCTTGGGTTGCCTGTTTTTATTCCGCATAAAGCAGATGTTTGGTAGTTTGAAGCAGTCTCATGGAGAAGTCAGAGTTCTACCTTTTGAGCTCTTTCTTCTGATTCATGATTATCTCTCTGAAAAACATCAGGATGGAGGTAATTAGATTTGGAGTTCACTCTTATTTTTAAGTTGAAATTAGCAAACTAAACTTTTAAATTGCAATTCCTAATTACACCTCCAGTTTTATCCTGTGAAATTTTTTACATGGAGTATGATTGGTTTCTCATTGATCCCTTAAATGGAATGGTGGGAAAAACAATTTAGTTCCTTTCCAAAAACTCGTCTTGTTTTATTGCTATGACAGTATGCTAACAATCATACTGACTAAGCACCCTATCTTTATATATCCTTGCTCTTAGTCAGCTCCAGGACAGCCTGAAGAATTCCTCAACTCAAGAACCTACTGCCGTGGAGTCAGTTATGAGTCACAGTGAGCCTATAGGACAGAGTGCAACTGCTCTGTGGGTTTCGGAGACTGTAAATCTTCACAGGAGTAAAAAGCCTCCTCTTTCTCCCATGGAGCAGTTGGTGGTTTCTAACTTCTGACCTTACAGTTCACAGCAGCCCAACTCGTAGCCGACTATGGCACTAGGGCTCCCTTAAATAATTCCTAATCAACAGGAAATAAACCAAGCATTTAAACAACAACAACAACAACAACAACAAACCCTTAGTTGCTATCAAATTGATTCTGAGTCATGGCAACCATGTGCTCAGAGAAGACCTGTGCTCCACAGGGTTTTTCAGCCTGTACCCTTCTGGGAACAGGTCACCGGATCTTTCTTTCCAGCAGGAGGGTAGGCTTAAACCACCAACCTTTCAGCTGGTAGCTAAGCATTTGGCCATTTGTGCCACCCCACGCAACCCGACCTAACTCAACCCAAGCCAACACAACCAACTCATTGTTAGGAGCTCCCTATAAAAACCCTATCAGACAGAATAGATCTCACCCCTACACGCAACCCAAATCAAGTTTCCTTTACAGACGCAGACTGCTACATCTTTCTCCATGGCGGTGGCTGCTCGGATCTGACCGTGCTCTTGTTTTAGCCATTGTGCCCCCGTGGTTCTTTGGCACCATCCAGGACCTCTGCCACTGAACAGAGAGAGGAGGAAAAGCTGACTTGGTTGACTGGGAAGTCTCACACTTACCAGTCGCTTCCCTTGTAGGAATCCATCACATAAGTTTTGCACTTGCTCTTCTGAAACCTCTGCAATGGGTAACGTCTCCCACTCATCATCCAGAGTCTGGTAAATCGCCAAGGCTGGCAGTTGAGACTCCTTAAGTTTGAAAAATGATATCACCTTCCCGTTTTCCTTCACACCACTGTTGACCAGGATAAAAAGAATCTGTGCTTGGAGAAGTTGAAAGAGAAAGATCAATTTGGGATCTTACCAATAAAATGATAGCTTATAGTCATCGTGGCTTATATCAGTTGACTTTATGGTCGGTGCCACACAATTTAAATCTCAATTGAGCTTCAATGAATTGTATATTATTTTTTGTGTGTTGCTTTGGTGTCTCATTCCCTTTGATCAAATCGATTTGATTTTGACAATGCAAAACTGGAAGTCCTTAGTGGTTTTCCAAGAGAAGACAGCTAGCTTCATGAGGAAAAGCAGAGGACTTGTTTTAAATCTTATCACTCAGTCTCCCTGAGACTCAGTTTTACCCTCAAACTTTTGTTGGTGGAGGTTAAATCAGAGGATGTAGTTGCTGTATTAAAAATAAAGCAAACCTAAGACATCCGGAGTCTCTTGTTGTCGAATCTATTGTAACTCATGATGACTCCATATGTGCCCATGTAGAACTGTGTCCCAGAGGGTTTTCAGTAGTTAATTTTTTGGAAGTATAACACAGGGTGGACCCACATTTCTAACCTCTCGGGTAGCAACTGAATTCCCTAAGCATTTGCACCATCTGCAGACTCCTTTTGGCTTATACCACTCCCATCAAATCCACTCCAATGGGATCACGGTGGGACTACACAGGGTTTCCAAGGCTGTACATATTTATGGGAGCAGAAAGCTTCAGCATTCACCGACAGAGCCGCTGGCAGTTTTAACCACCAGTCTGTGGTGAGCAAGTCAGCAGTCCAACACTTGCCTGACAATAACACCTGGGCTCCTTTTTGTCAAATAGCTAGTGATAAATGTTAACTAATACTGTTAATTCAAGTCTTCTACCCAAAGTAGTAATCTTTATAAATTCAGAGGATTGTTCACATTTTTCAGCACTTGGGAGCCAAGTATATGAGGGAACTTTTAAATTATTTGACAGTTCTCATCATTAAAAAATTCTTCAATTCAATGTAGTGATCCTGATGTGGTTGAAGCCATGCTATTTAAGCAGTATCAAGTAAGACACATAGTAAGGAAGGAGAGTAAATGAGTACTTATTGTACACCTAGTAGGCATGAGACACATGATAAGTGCTTCATGGAGTAAAGAAACTCTGAGGTTCAAAACTCTAAGAGATTATCGCAAGAAGTAAACACAGTGTGATTAATAGGTGACATATTTCCTTTCCGTTCTCTGGGTTTCTAAAAAAATGGGCTCATTACTAAGGAGAGATATGATTATACAGGCCTTTAATTGTACAAAATGTAACCTCTTTAAGTTCAAACTAGAATAATGTGATTGATTGTGTTGTAGTTCTTGTTTTGAAATATGGTATACTCGCTTTCCTTGTTCATCTCTACTTCCCTGCTCTTACCCTCCTTTTCCTCTGGTCCTTGGGTGCAAGGTCAGAAGAGTGTTTCCCATTCCAGACTTACCTTCCCTCGGAATTGCTTAGCTGCCTTCTGGTATCTTTGCATGTTTTCTTCATACCCTGGGGAAGCCTTGTTAATCATCAGGAGAAGATGAATTGGAATCAAGCTGTTGAATAGGCCGATCACCGTCTGGCAAAATGAGATCAGGAGAGAGGAAAAGAAACTTTTCTGGCAACTCCCTGAATGGGTAGACTAAAACATAATTGCGAGCTGTTTATCCTTAACATGAATGGTAAAGAGCCCCCAAATAACTCAATAGGTTTCACCCTCTCTTTTTCTTACCACTGTGCCGTCCCCTTGCACACGAAGCAGGACTGATCTGAGGAACTAACAGGATAATGCAAAATAGAGTGTAGTCTCACTAGGAATAAAAGTAACAAAGACATCTTGGTGTCTGCCTTGCTCTTGTTTGTTTCATTCACTTGGGAAACTTAGCCCCAATATAGAGCACTCAGACAGCTCTATGGTAGGAGCCATGTGGGAAAGCAATAAGGCATCTGACTTGCCAGGAACATGAGTGAGCCACCTTAGAAACAGATCCCCAAGGCCTGGCCAACATTCTGGCTGCCAGTTCCGGAGAGGTTCCAGGCCAAAAGCACCAAGCTAAGCCACTCGTGAATTCTGATCCCCAGAAAATATTTTAAGATGGTGAGGTTAGTAATAACTGTGTTATGCAGCAATTGATTTCTGCTCTTTTACAGCCCCTCTTAGTATTGCAAGACCAATCTGATAGGCTTAAAATACTCAAGTTTATATGAGTAGTTTATATTTATTGAGTATTTACTACACACAAGTTTGGGGAACCCTTTACATGTCATCACTGACTTAACCATTAAAGATCCAGTTTTGCAAACTGAAGCATAGAGAGGTTAGGTAATTCACTCAAGGTCACATGGGAAATCGCAAGTGGGTGGGGGTTCACACCTAGGCACTCTGGCTCTGAATCTCTGCTCTTAACCACTGTGATGCACAGATACCCAGACCCACTGCCAATGAGCTGATTCCCACGCACAGTGAGCTATAGGACAGAGCGGAATGGCTCCATTGAGTTATTGCGGCGATTGAAGCAGCCTTCCAGAAGTAGACTGCCCCATCTTTCTCTCGTGGAATGGTTGGTGGGTTTAAACTACTGATACTTTGGTTGGTAGTTGAGCGCTTTAACCCCTGTGCCACCAGGCCTTCCTGACTCCTACACAACTAGTGGCAAATTCCATTGTGTCTCTCTCAGCTCAGTAAATTGGTAGATTCTTCAGGAGACCAGAACTATTGGTTGCCCCCATGACATTGGCAGTGATTGAGAGAACAGGAAGGAGGGTGCAGGAACCTGACAGAGGAGAAGCAGGAGAGAGTAAAATTGTGCAGGCTGCCTGCCTACATTTCCACTTTCCAGAAATAGTCTTGTAAGTATTTTAAACAAATTCTGTTCCTTTCAGCGACTCTCTTCGGAATACAGAAAGCATTGCGGTAACAGCAGCATGTACACAGGAGAGCAAGAATGCAGTGGGCTAAAGAACCACTGGGCAGAGTCCCAGGCTGGTGGAAAGAGGAGCCCCCAGGTAAGGTCCTTCCTGAAGCTACACACCGATGCAGGGGAATCTTCAGGCTCCATTGGTCATAGGGGCCAATATGTAGGCAAGGCAGTGAGCATCTCCTTCCCAAAGATTTCCCCTACTCTTCTTAGATTTTAAATTTGGGAGAACCAAACCCACTGGCACAGTGTTGATTATGACAAATAGCAGCCCTGTAGGGCAGAACAGACCTGCCCCGTCAGGTTTCTGACACTGCGTTTTGACATAATGGGACAGCCACATCTTTATTCCGTGGAGTGATCAGTGAGCACCCAATTGCTTCAACAAGGTGCACTCATATTTGGGAGACTAGATGGTATAAGTAACCAACTTTTGTTTGACTAGATCCTCTTACTTAATGGAAGAAGCCCCTGGGACCTTACAGGTCAGGTATTGGGTTGCTAAGAGAAAAGGCAGCAGTTTAAATCCATCAGCTGCTTCATGGAACGAAGATGAGGCTGTCTGTCCCTATGTAAAGAGTTAGTCTGAGAAACCTCATATCGGGTCACTATGCATCAGAATTGACACAATGGTGGTGGGTCTTAGTTTTGGTTTTGGGTTTAGCACTGAATGGGGGAACTGGAGCAGTGGTTGAATCACTTGGCTGCTAACCAAAGGCTACAATGTGAGCCCACCAGCCGCTCTACAGAAGAGGTGACAGTTTGCTTTTGGAAAGATTTACAGCCTTGGAAACCCTGAGGAGGCTGTTCTATGCCGTCCGACAGGGTCGTTGTGAGTCAGAATCCAGTTGACCACAGAGGGTTTGGATTTGGTTTTGTTACTTAAAATTAGATTATGTATCCACCGTCCCAGATGGAGGATGACTTTCAGGAAGTGGTAAGAAATCAGAGTTGGAGGGTCAAAAAGTACAATTCTCTTAGCAGGAGGACTGGGTAGAGCAAAAGGGATTAGTTTTAATTCTAGTAGACACAAATTCGGCTTTGAAGCTGAGTTGATGCATTAAATGGGCACAGCGGGCCAAGCCCAGGGCTGTGGTTTTTTGCCCAGATTTATACTGGTATAAATCTCTGCACGAGTAGATGGGCAGTAACTGTACTAGTTTGAGTAGGCCAACTTAAAAAAAAATGCTACTATGGGAGATGAAGTGGTCAGCATTATGATGAAATTTTCTTTTATAAAGAGAGTCTTACCGAATTTCCTTGTGATGTGATTTGCCTTCACTTTCCACATTAAAGTTAAAAACAAAAACCTCCTGGTTCAGTAAGCTAAGACATGAGCAAGGCATTAGAACTCAGCAAAGTTCAGTCGTTGCCCTTGCCTTTCGAACCTGCAGCATGGCAGCACATTAGAACTAGAAACCTCGGCTCCGTGAGCGATAAACCAAGATCCTCTTTCCCGCATCTGTATACGCAGCTGGCAGCTCCATAAATACAATGACCAGAGAGAGAGTCTTGAGAGGAGTCCTCTGAGGTGGTTTTTGCCAACACCTGAGAAAGTGTTTGTGGGGAACATGGAGTCACCCCTCCACAGGGGCACACCTGTGGTGGGAGGTGGACAGGATTTTTGTCATCAGGAAAAGTGGTGTGTCCTCTGGGAGGCTGGGGGTGGAAAAAACCACAGGGTCCAGTCAGACCCATGAGTCATGAAGACAGAAAAGAAAGACAGAAAGCAGGGCCCGTGAACAGGGCTGTCTCTGAAGCTCCAACGGATAGAGACCGGTGGACTTGAGGAAGTTCATTTTCTTGGGCTTCCGTTTCCTCTCCTATAAAACGGCAGACGACCATGGGAACAAACCCACCATCCGTTAAATTCTCTGCCTCCCGTTATATCTTCTTATCTGACTTACCATGTGGCCTTGAGTGCTAAAACTACATACAGTAACGTCCTCCCTTCTACCTCAAAGCATTGCTGTGAGGAGTAAATGAGAAAGTGGGCAGGCGTGACCATACTTCAAAGTTCTCGATATCATGACATGCATGCACAGTGTGCTACTAGCGAGTGCACAGCATTTCAGACCAGGCGTAGAGCACGAGGAACCAACGCTTCTGTCACCCGATGTGCTACATCAGGGGAAATAAAGAGGCAGTGCATTTAAGATAATTCTATAAACTGCGGAGTGTCAGGAAGCTGGTCATGACTGAGAGGGACAGTGCAGTCCCCCGGGTCATTCTTTCTCACTGCCATCCTGTCGATGCTGACTCACCGGGACCCCATAGGACAGGGTAGAACTGTTCCGGTGAGTTCCAACACCACCACTCCTTACAGGAATAGAAAGCTTGGTCTTTCTCCCACGGAATGGCTGGTGATTTCTAACCCCTGACCTTGTAGATCACAACCCAATGCATGACCGCTATGCCACCCGGTTCCTCAGTAAAAACCGGTGGCTCTCGAATTGATTCTGGTCATGGTGACTTTACTCTGTAGGGTTTCCCATGAATGACTTTTTGGAAGTAGATTTCTTCTGAGGTGCCTCTGGGTGGACTTGAATCTACAGCATTTCAATAAGGAGCCAATTGCATTAATTGTTTGCACCACCTATGGACTCCTATCCAGGTGCCTCAGCATGCAAAAACAGAGGAAGGAAAAACTGGAAAGAAGGTTTAGGAGCCCCAAAGAGTCAGGCGTGACTGAATCAAAGTGTGTTTTGCATGGGGAGCCTGACAAGGATGTGCTTGTCTCTAGTCCTCAAAGAGTCGGCACAGAAAGTGGCTCTAAATCAGTGGCTCTCAACCTTCCTCATGCCTTTAATACAGTTCCCCATGTGGTGGCGACCCCCAACCATAAACTTATTTACGTTGCTACTTCATAACTGTCATTTTGCTACTGTTATGACTCGGGCAACTCCCGTGAAAGGGTTGTTCGACCCCAAAGGTGTCGCAACCCACAGGTTGAGAACCGCTGGCCTAAATGTTTCGAAATGAATAGGCATTTAGCACTATTGCAACATCTAAGTCCATGAGCAGTGTGCTTGAGATTTTCCATTTGGGCAGTCATTTAAGTTTTAGGTTTCTGCATTTCACAGAAGTCCCTGTCACCCAGGCTTCAGAAAACAATGGCCCTTCAGCCCAGATGGAGATCTTATTTGGGAAGCCGGATGCTACGCAAATCAACTTTGTCTTCGCAGAGAAGACCCAGACAAAAACACTCAGGTTTTTGAATCAGTCTCCTCTTTGCATTGAGGTTCTGCTTCTTATTGGTCACGTGATGGGCAACTTAACTCTTCTGAGTCTGTGTCTTTCTTTGCTGAAGAGGGTCCGATCGATGATCCCTCTTAAAGGGCTATAGCAGAAGATTAACATAAACAAAATGGCCAAACGATTGGTCAAAGAGTCCGAACTCCAGAAGGAAAAGCATCTCTGCTGTACAGACAGCTACTCCCCCAGACACTGGCACTTAGGGGATGAAAGACAGGGACTGCTGTTTACCACAGGGTTGTACTCCGTCACCAAGTGGAGGCTGTTGATCTCAATAAAACGGCTTAATTTGGTGTCATCGATATTTTCAATGCCTTCGCTGTCTAAATGCAGTTGTTCATTATCCACCTGGGGGGCACAAATGGAAGAAAATAGTTACTGCTCTGGCTTTAATCACGCATTGGAAATCACTGTTAGTTCAACGGAAGCACCAGACAGCAAAGTAAATAACACACCCTCTCTACCTGACCATGCGGACAGTGGCGGGAACATACTGACCAGTGGTGGGATTCAGGCAGTTGGCACCAGTTTGGCAGAACTGATACCTCATTTTTGGTTGAGTCTGGAGAACTAGTTGTTCAAATGGAACTTGTAATCAGGGTTCTTTCTAAGGTGGGCAGCTAGGGAGCCACCTAATGTGGAAATCTCAGATTTATATTCCTTACTCTTTTTTAATGTTCATCTGCACAGCAACGTATTCTAAGCACCCATAGTAATGATCATCCCATCAACATGCAAAAAAATTAGATGGAACTACGCTTATAATATTTATTTATTCATTTTATAAACTCATTACACTTCTGATCAAATATACATTTTTATTCCCTGTGTGTGCTATTTCAGGAAACACACATATAATGTAAAGAGAAAACATACCAAACAATCAGAGGGTGACATGCTGCCATTTATTTCAACTTTGTGTTAAGCCCTAAATTCCCATAAGGTATTATGAGTGAATTGTGCAGTACCTGAAAGTGTTCAAAGAGTGAAAAATACTGTCAGGATAATTGCTGTGAATTCAGCAGAAGCAGAAAGGGATGTCGCCTGGTTTTAAGATAGCAAACAATGACTGTGAAGTTGATAAATCACACAGCTGGTGATGATTGGATAAAAGTGAAGAATTTTGCAAGTGATGACACCAATCAGGAAACAAAATGGAGGAAACAAATAACAGAATTGTAGACGAATGACTATATTGGATGGGATGAGATATGGCTAAAAATATAATAATTATTATTTTATATATATAACTATAACAACAAAGGTTCTTGGGGGAAAGGGTGGGTGAGGGAGGGGATCCAGGAGAGCTGATATCAAAGAGTTCAATAAGAAAGAAAATGTTTTGAAACTGATTGTAGTAGCAATTGTAAAATTATGCATGATCCATTTGAATTATGGAATGTTATGACATCGCTAAGAGCTCCCAATAAAATGATGAAAAAGAAAATGATATAGAAATATCTTAAATAATAATTTTATTGCTTTTGCCAGGTATTATTGAATATTTTCATTAATATTTAAAACTCTTTTGTACAAAATAATCCAGTTTGTGCAATAATAATCTTTTTATTCTTTTTTTATTAACTGTGTGAGATAATAGACTACCTTTCAGTATATGGTTTTGTTCTGTTTTTACTTAAAGCGGTCATTAGGGCAGCAAGCTGGTTAAATTATTGGAATCCCATTCCATCAAAAATTACTTGATGCTCGCCACCAGGTCAGCAGTTGGAAAACAGCAGTCGCTCCACGGGGGAACGTGGTGCGCTCCACTCCCAGCAAGTTGTACGGACTCCGAAACCCACAGGGACGGTTGACCTTGGCCTAGACTGCTGTCTCCACGAGCCGGGATTGACTTGATGGCAGTAAATTGATTCATGTCACTTGCTCAGTTTCTATTGCGTTGGCTTTTCTTTTAAAGAGTTTTGTAGGCATTTTTATACATCCTGGACATTCGCCCTTTGCTGGAATAAACTCTGTGTCTGTTGTTACTGGGAGCTCCCATTGTGATGGTGATTCTCTTTAACAGGGAGCCATTCCGATGGAGCCACGGTTACAGCGCTTCCCTTCCTGCTTAAGACTTCCTTAGAGTACTGAAGAACAAGGATGTGACTTTGGGACTGAGGTGTGCCCGAGCCAAGTCATGCTGTTTTCCATGGCCCATATGCATGTGCAAGTTCGACACTGACTAAAGACTCGATGCATTTGAATTGTGGTGCTGTACCGAAAGTACCATGGACTGCTGAAAGGATAAACCGATCTGATCTGTCTTGGAAGAAGTAATGCCAGTGGGCTCCTTAGAAGCAAGGATGCCAAGACTTTGCCTTACATACTTTGGACTTGTGGTCAGGTGAGGCCAGTCTCGGGACATCATATTTGGAGAAGTAGGAGGACAGTGAAAGAGGGCAAGGCCCTCAAGGAGGTGGACTGACACCATGGCTACAACAATGGGTGCAAGCATAGAAACCGTGGTGAAGCTGGTGCCGGAAGGTGCCGTGTTTTGTCGTTATGCACAGGGTCGCAATGGGACAGAACCCACTGGGTGGTGCCTAACAGCAACAATGTGTACTATAGCAGACAGCCTTTGTAAGTGAGAAGTCAGACATGCACTTCTTGTCAACGACTATGCTGAAGAACTATCTAATACTACGGAAGAATGGTCACCACCACAGCTATATACATATTTAAAAAATTACCTATCAGGAAGAGCTTACATTAACACTTAAGGCTAAATTTTACCCCAATGTTTAAATATTTTTTGAAGGAAAAAGCCCCAAAACTTCAACATGCCATTACATGGGTTTCTTTGTTTTATCACTAAAAGTAAATGGTTAAAAAAAATAGTCTTTGGTTTGAAGCCATTGAAGATATGTACATTCTCATATATTATCTCGTAGAAACTTAATTTTTGTCCCCTTCACCTTAAAATCCACCAGGAACTTAGTATTCGTCTTACTTATTAGTTTGTTAAGGTGTTTTTTGTGGTTGTTGTTTTCTTTTAGCATTTACTCTCTGTAAAGTACAAGAGGGCCTCAAAAGTTTTGAGGGAATTGGGATTAAAAGACAATGTTTTTTTCCATGGATGTTTTGAAGTTTCCTCCTATACATTAAAAAAAAAAAGATCACAATCTTAGAAACCCACAGGGGCAGTTCTACCCTGTCTTATAGCGTCATTAGGAGTTATCATTGACGTGATGGCAGTGAATGAGTAATATATCAAATGTCAACTTCTATACATGTTACACATCCCTAAAAATTATATATATTTCACAATTCTGAATATAGCATTCTGTATGTATCCATCATATCTAGCTAGATAATTTCATAGTTAATATTTTCCATATTTTTATTGCTGTTTTATCAATTTATTCTATCAAGGGAGAAGTATTTAAATCTCCCTTTATGATTGTGATTTTTGCTATTTTTCTCTTGGGTGTTTGTCAGGTTTTGCTTATGTATTCTGAAAGCATGCATTATATAAATTAAAATTTATATAAATGTTAAATCCTCCTGATGAATTGACATTTTTATCATTATGTTGTGTCATTATTTAGATCTATGAATACTTGTTGTTTTAGCACCTACTTTGCCTATATCAGCTTTCTTTTGGAAGTGTTTGCTGGAATATTCCTCTGTTTTGGTTTATCTTTATCTTTCAGTGGTGCTCTTCATGTGCCTTTAACTATTAAATGCATTCCTCCTAAAAAGCACATCTTTGCTGTGGTGCAGCGAAGTAATTGCTATGGTTCTTCTAGTGATAGTCTTCGTAACTCTCGTCAAATGACTTTTTTCCTGGCAGGTCTGTGTAAGAGAAGGTGTGGGAAGATGCCAATAGGACTGGTGAGTTATTGTTAATGGGGTTAATTGTATTGTAAACCTTTGAACTGTAACTTGGAGATTGGTCAATTGTGCCACCCCAAGGGGTATAAAATGAGCCATTTTAAAATCAGGAGGGGGATCTGACTCCCTCAGGAAAGAAGAGCAGGGAGCAGACTGTGTCTTTGGATCCTGGGATAGCTACTCATGGAATCTACTCAATCCACGAACAGGAAATGACCCCGGAGAAGCGGCTGAGTTGTGGCAGTAACAGGACCACGAGGCAGAGCACGAGGCAGGGCACGGGGTAGGGCATGAGGCAGGGTACAAGGCAGGGCATGACACAGGGCAGGAGGCAGGGCTGGAGGCAGAGCAGTGGACTTTCAATTGGAGGCTTCCTTTAATGTAGCTACTGATATAATTAATTACTGACTTATTTTTCCTTTACTTTGTTTGTTCCAAATCCCAGTTTGCTTCATTTCTGGCCCACTTCTTAATTGACTTTATACTTCATCTTTCCCTCTATTAGATTGAAAGTTGCTAGGTTCTGCCTGGCTGATTTCCAGCGCCTAAGGAGCCCCTGTGACAGAGCAGGCCTGCTCTCAAGGGTTTTCTTGGCTTTAATTTTTATGGAAACAGATTGCAAGGTTTCTCTTCCTCTGAGCTGCTTGGTGGATTTGAACTGCTGGCCTTTTAGTTAGCAGTTGAGCACTTAACTGTTGCACCACCAGGCCTCATTGGACTACAAGTGACTACTGTTGTGGGTTTTAATTTGAAATTTCACATGACATTATTACTATGATTTATCCCAACAAACATTTATGTTTGTACATGTATTTATGTTTTAGCACCCTCTTCATCCCCTTACATATTTTTGATCTTCTATATGAGATTCCCCTCGAGGTCATATAAACAATGCCTTTTAATACATATATATTTTTTAATACAAGGGGACTTCAAAAAATGCCTGGAAAGATCCCATGTCTTTTGACTACATTTTCACAAACCTTTCGAAGCCCTTCACATGCATTAAATCTGTTGGGTAACAAATCCTCTGTTTTGATTTTTAAAACTGCTTATATGGTCAGGGCCTGTTCTTCAATCCGGAGCCCAGGAGGGGCAGCGGTGATGCATTGGGCTGCTCACCAAAGGCAGTAGCTGGAAGCCACCCCCAGTTTCCCCGCAGGAGCAAGATGAGGCTCTCTGCTCTCTTCAAGAGGTGCAGTCTCAGACACTCCAAGAGGTGGTTCTACTCGGTCCTAGAGGGTCTCTATGAGGAGGAATTGACTCAATGGTAGGAATTGAGTGAGTAGGCGATTGAATGCTTTTATCTGTTTCCTCTAATTGATCAATTATAATTCCTTTGAGATCCTTGGCCCATAAATTCCTAGATACTTCCTTGATACCTTTCCCTCCATCTATTATCTTACCAGGATTTTCCTGGAATTAGAACCACCTTTCCTCTCACAAGGCCATAATACGTTCTCCAATTCTATTCAGCAAAATCAATGATATGTTTGGTTTCAGTTGATGTA